ACACACACACACACACACACACACACACACACACACACACACACATATATATATATACACACACACACACACACACACACACACACACACACACACACACACACACACACACACACACACACATCTGTAAATGAATGCTGCACCATACATTATTAACTATTGTGAACTGATAACTGTAGTACACTTTAGTTTTTACTGCAGTAAGCTGTGTTGTATTGATGTATAATTTACCGTATAGCTGTAGAAAACCATATTATTGGCTCATTTGTTTATATTACTATAGTTGTGTTACCATAGCAACTGTAGAATCACCACAACAGATCAATTGTTGTGGCTGTTGTGTTACAAAAGCAACTGTAGAATCACCACAACAGATCAATTACTGTAGTTGTTCTGTTACCATAGCAACTGCAGAATCACCACAATGGGTCAATTACAGCAGCTGTTGTGTTACCATAGCAACTGTAGAATCACCACAATGGGTCAATTACGGCAGCTGTTGTGTTACCATAGCAACTGTAGAATCACCACAATGGGTCAATTACGGCAGCTGTTGTGTTACCATAGCAATTGCAGAATCACCACAATGGGTCAATTACGGCAGCTGTTGTGTTACCATAGCAATTGCAGAATCACCACAGTGGGTCAATTACGGCAGTTGTTGTGTTACCATAGCAACTGTAGAATCATCACAATGGGTCAATTACGGCAGCTGTTGTGTTACCATAGCAACTGTAGAATCATCACAATGGATCAATTACGGCAGTTGTTGTGTTACCATAGCAAATGTAGAATCACCACAATGGGTCAATTAAGGCAACTGTTGTGTTACCATAGCAAATGTAGAATCACCACAATGGGTCAATTAAGGCAACTGTTGTGTTACCATAGCAACTGTAGAATCACCACAATGGGTCAATTACTGCAGTTGTTGTGTTACCATAGCAACTGCAAAATAATCACAACAGATAAATTACTGTAGTTGTTGTGTTACCATAGCAACTGCTAAATAATTACAACAGATCAATTACTGTAGTTGTTGTGTTACCATAGCGACTGCAGAATCACCACAATGGGTCAATTACGGCAGTTGTGTTACCATAGCAAATGTAGAATCACCACAACAGATCAATTACTATTGTTGCTATGCTTCTATGGCAACTGTAGTATTGCTGCAACAGATCAATTACTATAGCTGTTACCATAGCAACAACAGAATTACCACAAATATTAATGAATTATTATAGTTATTGTGTTTTCATAGCAACTATAGAATAAGTGCAAAAGATGCATATCTATAGGTGTTGCCATAGCAACTATAGATTTACCACAGCAGAGTTCTTTGCTAGTATGGGTCAAAAACACGACAGTATTTACTATAAACTACTTTAGGATTTGTTCATGTGGGCTGAAATAAACAGATGAATAATTCCTCCTCATTGCCCACGAGCTGCAGATAAACGCATGAAAACAGATTTAGAAGCGGGTATAAATAAAAATAAATGATAAAAGCTCTTCCAGAGATGACCAGAGCTGCTGCTGGTTTGAGAAAACACATTGATTTATCATTGCAGCCATAATCATCAAACTCCACAAATCTG